TTAACTGTATTTTTTTTTATTTTATACAAGATTTTTTTTAATTTCGTTTGTATTCATGTGCCTCCCATTGTAATCTTGTAAAAAAACCACTATGTATGTAGAATAGTTTTGATGTATATATCTAACTAAAGGCAGTGGCAGCCTAGTGGTAACGCTTTCGCTTGGGAAACCAAATGAAGCGAGTTCAAGTCCAGGGTCTTGCACTTTGGGTTTTCATATGTGAATCATTTCCAACGTGATTACGATTGATGATTATGAAATCCGCCAACCCACACTTAGCCAGGGTGCTGGATCTGGCCTGATCCCCCTCGTATACCATAGTATCCAGCAATGGGACATTAAAAAAAGGGCTGCGTACATACATATATCTAACTCACACTTTCACTATGCCGGAGGTCACAAGTTCCATCATCACAGTCTCTTTTACTTATAATATAGCAATAAAGTCCATGCAGACCACCAATATAGCCCGTTATCATTATAATTGTCGGAATCTGAACACGTTTTAAGTTAATTGAGGCAAGCCCGAGATTATCGATAGAGGATTTATGGGCGTGCGATAACGTATGCGCTCCTGAGAAACATCGTGTCAATTTGTCGCATCTTTTAAAGGATTTCGGGCCATTAAACTATCTTACTTATTAAATTGTCTGAAATAAATACCTTTTCTTAAAAAGAAGTATCTATTCCTTGTTCTATCTGAGGACACGGCAGTGATCCCACCAAGTCAAGCAATTATGCACTTTCTAGATATAGTACGGAACATTTGAAAGTTTTATATATATATATATATATTACTAAATTAGACCAAATATAAGTTAGACCGATATAATTAGTAGTAGCGATAGTAGGATAGTTTAGCTAACCTTGCTTAGCTCTTCATAGTGCAAGATCATTTAAAAAGAATCTCGTCTAATCACAGAAGAATAGTAGAAGCTATTTATATATATGACGTTTGTAATTTTATAGGTAGATACTATAAAATAGTTAAACACAATTTGCACAAAGTTCTGCAGTACATTCTCCTTTAAAAACTATAAATGTCGCGGTGCGGCAAACACTGTCGAATAATCCATGCAGGATTTTGGCACGGTGTCATAGATATTCCTTTGTTTTGGCAACTGAATATTTATAGGTATTGTTGACAAACAAATTGTCTGCAAAAGATTTCAATATTATAATTTGAAGTAAAGTATTTAGTTTAAAAAATAGAATGCAATTTTGATAAAACTTAGTGTGCTTATAAAATACAAAACTTAAAAAATAATTATGAAATAGGTATAATTATTTAATAACAAAATATTTCTTAAAGACAAAATAGATAACATATTATCTCATGCAAGATAGAGATAAGGAGGTTGCAAATCTAGAAAGTGTGGCACCTTAAAGCATTTTAGGTCCTCTTCAATATTTTTGCATCTAGATATATGATCAATGGTATGACAATATTTTGTTTTTGAGTTAGACTATTTTCTTTATCTGTAGAGAAAATTTCATCTCAAATATGTATTCAATGTTAACTCAAAAATATTAAAACTTTGTTAGTATATACTACACAAACATTTTAAATATAAGCTATCTAAAAAGAAGTTTGGGAATATCTGCTAATCTATACATATAATAAAATTATAACGAAGCCGAATCTGTACATTAGATATTTTTTGGAAAATCTTATTGAAATAGACTTTATTAACGATACAGAGGCCGAATCTGTAGTTTTTAGAATTTTTGTCTGTCTGTTACCGTATCATATCATATCACAAGAAAACTACTGGAAGGATTTTGATGAAATTTGGTATGGTGATAGCTTGGTTATCCGGGTCAACATATAGGATAAATATTTTTATATAATATCTAAGGTAATATTGTGTGAGAATCGAATCTGGCACTAAAGTAAAGCACTTGTATGTTACGTAGTTACTGAGACTAACAGACAATGCTTCAATTTTATATAGATATCGGTACATTCAACTTTTTAAAACAGTATGGCTATCACGATGCGACAACCATAAACGTCACAGGCGTAGTTCTACGAAACTATTTTGGCGCAGTGACAAGAATATTTATTTTTTACAGCTGGAAAATACCTGTCATTTGTTTATAAATTTCCTTTACATTCAAATGAAATGATATTTTACTTTAAAATTTAAAGTTAGATCTTTAATTTATTGTTTGTTCTAGTTCTTTAAAGGACCTATCTCGCCGGAAAATAATACTTTTCACAATTTTCATTTGCCATATAACACAAATTATTGCATGAAATTTAGTCTTCTAATAGCAAATAAAATATCATTATCTTATAATATAAATAGGTAAGTCCTTGCATAAGTTATACAATTCATAATAAGCTGCTTCACAAACATATAGCAGTATAACTGCTGTGTCTAGAAAAACATATAGAATTATTAAAAGTTAACAATCCAACCGTAATAAATAGTGAGCAACGCAAAAACTTGCCATATAAATCAAAGGAAATCCGTCACATATGTACAACAATGAAGGGATGTAGCTTTTTGAACCTCTAAATGAATATTAATACAATTTATTAGATAATAATAATGCTGCGACGCCATTGCTCCGCGTGACGTAATAACTTAAGCCCCTTGCACACTGGCGAATAATCCTAACCCCATTGTGGTGTCACCCTAACTTTATCACCCTAGGCTCAGTACAACACTTCTATGCCCCGGTAATAAGGTTCGAATCCGTCTGGAAAACATAACAAATGAGTATCAGATATGAGGGCGATAGAGAAATGCAATAATACGTACGTATCGTTGATCTAGGAAATTATAAGTACTAGTGAGTACAGATTTTTCCGGTACTCCTCAGGGTTTGCTAACGAGATACGGTCGGAATGTTTTGATTTTAATATGAACATTTCGAAACATATAACGTCCATGAATGTTCTTATCTTTTTAAGTTTATAATTTTTCTTATTCATTTTTTGCTATCTGTACATATTATGTACGTCCCTTCTTTTAATAAGCACTTAATTTTGTTAAAATACCTACATATGTTTTCTTTTATACACTTTTTTGTTTATTTTTTATGAAAACTATTTGAAAACAATGCTCGGACGGAACCATGCTTAATTTTGTAACTAGACTATAAACATCTGAATGAGCAAAAACAGAAAAAACTATGTGTTAAAGTTTCAATATATCTCATTATTTCTATGAATATAAAATGATTTAATCACTTGTAAAAACTTACATTTATACGAAATGAATATAATATTCCATACTAGCGACTCACTCTCGTTCCGCTCGGGTTCGTCCCTAGTTACGTTTTAAGGTTTATAGATTTTTCAGAGATAAGATATTTTCCCGCAATAAAAAGTATCCTATATGATGACCCGGATAACCAGCTATCATCATACCAAATTTCATCAAAATCTGTCCAGTGCTTTTTTCGTGATGTGGTCACATACAGACAGATAGATAGACAAAAATACTAAAAACTATAGATTCGGCCTCTGTATCAATAATAATGTCTATTTAAATAAAGTTTTCAAAAAAATATTTAAGTATAGATTCCGCTTAGGTACAATTTTATTATATGTATAGATTAATGCAACAACTATTATAACAATTTTCATAATAAATAACATGCAATAAGCACTTTTTTTGAAAATAGCCAAGTGATGATATGCATATAATATGCATTCTGGTATTAGAAAATAATTAAGTAAAGCTTACATATATATGTATGTAGTATAGTAGTTAAGGAAGGTACCTACCTACCTTCATACTATTAGAATTGGCAAAATCCCAACATATTTTGCATAAATAAATAAGGTAAATGACCTATGCTGAGCGTCTTCATCACATAGACCACTAACGGCGAGCAGTCGAATGTTGATCTATTTAAAGAGCGACATTACTATATTTGTCACTATTGTAGCCGTAGGGGTGACAATAAATCCGGCGCTCTGATTGGGCGGCCGGAGTGACGTCACAAGCCGGTCACGCCCTTAGTTAGTTATTACCGGATTAGAATGTCCGGCACCAGATCAGTATAAGGTAGGTATGAATCAAACATCGCCACAACTTCACTGTAGGAAAAAAAACTAGAAAAAAAAACTATTATGCAACAGCAAATGAGCAATTCTATAAAATATAATTTACGTTTCCATTTTTTTAGAAATACTTGAAAATATACATATTTATGAATTTTATGTTTCAAATATATTGAGACAATCTAATTGGAGTGTATTACCGAAGCCAGGTCTAAGGCACTTTGCTAATAAACTAATCTGTTTATACATTCTTTGCGAACAGAGTTTTTCTTTTTCTCAGAAGTCTACATACAATGCGAAAAATGTAGACCGCCAAAAAAAATCGCTCGTAGAAAGCAACGCATTCCGGCCCTCGCGGACCGACGGTTTGGGCACTCCATAATTGCCTTTGGCGCCCGTCTGCTCATCTTACTTTTATACCTTTTTGTATGGTCCCTTTTGTTCATCGCTTGTTGGTTTTGGGAATTAGCATGTCTTATTAGCATAACTGTCCGATAAGACGTGATTGCTGTTTTAACAGCTGAGCGCGGGCTTGGGTCGAAATGACCGGCGAATTTAAAAAAATATTTTACCAGTTCTTAGTGTTTTTATATTTATATACATTTTTATATAACTTCGCAGTTATATGCACTTACCTATACTTATTATAATATAATGCAAATTCGATCACAAATGTTATAGTACAATAAAAAACATGGAAAGTTAAATTAAATAAATCAATCCCGAATTACTGCGCTATAAAGTCTATTGCTAAATTTATACCACTTAGCAAGTGCCCGTGTCGGGTTTGCGCGATGCCATAAATCAGTTGAATACTCAACGAAGCGCATACGAGTCAGTCCTCACTAAAGGGACGATGTTGCCGATAAAATATGCGTCTGCGAGTCCGGTCACCGAAATGGTAATATTGTTAACAGGGAGTAAAATAGCTACAGGAAACCAAAAGAAGAATTATGCATCATAAGAATTTCTCAATAAGATGTGGTGTGCGCGTGGGGCCGACGCGGGCGCCGCCCCGCGGCGAGTCGGTGGCGCCTCTATCGATTATTCGGACCTCTCCCTCGGCCGTAGCGCGGCGTCCCTGTCTCGCGCGCACGGGTGGCGCCCGCCGCGTCATTTAAGGCCACCTCGACACACTGCGACCTCTTCAGGGTTCTCGTTTAAACAGACCTCGCAGGCTATATCATTAATCTATTACCATCGTAAGGTGGGCTCGTATGTGAGATGATTTCTTGTTTTTTCGTCGTCCGAACCACCGGCCGCGGTGAAAGGTAACGTCGGACTCCGACTCGATATTCGGTTTTATGGAGCTTAATTAGCGGTGATCTCGCGCTCTGTCGGCTCCATGGATCTCCATATAAGTATCTTTTATTGGCTGATATCGTAGATCGCTTAGATGTCACGCTGGGAGTCGTAACTGTTGCCTATAAAATTGTTTTGAAAGCGTTTTATTTTGAAATGTGAAAAGAAATTTGCATTTTGTATTTCCATATTAAAAATGACCAGTGTCGTGGTCCAATTTTATGGGAGTAGTCCGGTCCGCCCTCCGGCGAAGAGGTGCGGCGGCTGCACGGGCGCCACTCATTCATATATGGTACAACTGCCCGTTAATTACACCCTCGACTCGACTCGATCGGGCTGATTAAGTTCTTGACATTACATTATTTCGTCTTTGTAATAACACGTTCATTGCTGTTTTACGATGGTTTCGGGCGATACAAAATTCGTCAACGCACGTTTATAGAGAATTATAGAATTTATGGGCGCGCCTGAGTCTATTCGTCTAACAAGATAACCGCGAACTAACATTATCGTAGGCGCGACTAGCAATTTTCTGTAAATACCACTCAGAGAACGCTAAATTTATCTATAGCATTGCTTACACTATTAAGTTATAAGTAACCAAGAATTAAATTAGGCAAGACGTAGTTATGCCTTGTTGTACAGTTCAATCCATGTTAACTAAGTCGTGAGATTAATTCTGAACGAAACCCATAAGTTGTAAAATAAATATTAACATAATCCAACACAAAACTTTACAGAAACTATGAAAATATAATTGCTTGTTACAATTTATTGGTATTTTCTCAAATGAGACTTGGGTTTGTATAAAATAAAACTTCAGTATAAATATGTTAGACCACTACTGTTTCTTACAAGTGAATTGAATTTATTATTGAAAAAGAACGACGGAGCTATTATAAAGGAAAAAAAGTGTTGTAAAATTAGTATACCTACAGCGATTTGCATTTTATAAAAAACCGGTACAACTGAGATGCTTGAGCAATTCAGGCAGCTGTTGGGTGGTATATAAAGATAAATATCTAATATAGGTATCAATTTATTCTGAACTAGCAACCCTAAATAAATTATATAAAAATATGGACTAGGTGCTTGAAAGCACATTATTTAAGAAAACATAGCAACACTATTATACTTAAGTTGAAACATATTATTTAGGTACCTACTAATATAATATTATGAACGTACTTGTTCTTATATCCTTTTTTATGAAGGTGTGTAAACATCAATGAAAACAGATTTCGCGTAAAAAAACCGAAAAAGAGGCAATAGCCAAAAAAACTGTCCTTTCCTGGACAGGATAGTTACTTATACTATGCTATACTTTCCATGGACCTATGTATGTACTTACTTCAAACAAAGCACAAGCACTGTGTTAGTTAGTCGAAAATTTAAGAAATATTCATGTCACGATACATGACACTCTTTTTACTTTGTTAAATGAAATATATTTTAATATGAAACATACCAACATGAAACTCATCACATAATACACTACCAATATTATTGTTTACTAGCATTGCCCGCGGCTCCACCCGCGTTCAGATGACCAAAAAGCAAATTCTTAGGTTTTACATATTAGTATACTCTTACAATGCAGTCTTTGTATTTTTTCTCAGGAATGAGATATTTTCCCGCGGTAAAAAGTACCCTATATGTTGACCCGGATAACCAGCCATCACCATACCAAATTTCATCAAAATCCCTCCAGTGGTTTTTTTGTGATGCGGTAACAGACAGACAGACAGACAGACAAACAGACAAAAATTCTAAAAACTATAGATTCGGCCTCTGTATCGATAATAATGTCTATTTCAATAAGATTTTCCAAAAAATATTTAATGTTAGAATTTTATTATATGTATAGACGAAGTTCAAATTGGTATAAGCATTTTAAAATGAATTAACAGTGTGTTCGCTTCTCCATCAGTGTTTGCTTAACAGGCGAGAACTTAAGTTAACCAGTCATTATCTCTCCTTTTTATGATTTATGTTTACTTTTAAAATTGATCTGGTAGATTTTTTCTATCTTCGCTCCACCCATAAATTATTATTATTATAGATAAAATATAATTTATTCTATTAGTAATATAGCTAACAAATAACTTTCCATGCTTTGTGACTTATAAATTTTATGGATATGTAAAAAAAACTATAACACGTTTGACAGTTTGAAAATCGATCTCTAATTTTCTATAGAACGTTACTCATATTTATAAAGAATTAATACGAAGATAAAATTGAAAAGCACTTAATAATAAAATGCAAACAATCATAACAATAATATAAAAGATAAACATATAACATACGCCAATACCATACAAATATACCTGAATAAAACCTTTTTTTTCATTCAAAAAGATAATAAATCATCGCGAAGAAATGTTTGAGCGCTTATTAAAGTAATTTAGCACTCTGGCCATTCCCGTCTATGTTTGTTTTGCAGGCGAGAACTTTACCCAACCTATTATTACGTCTCGTTATTTTTTAAGCCAGAAGTGGCCAACGCTTGGCGCTGAATTCACCGAGCTTTTGTTTACGGCTAGTTATTCGCGTTACTGAGTGACTGAATGAAGAGTTTAATGGACATCTTTGTAAACAATGCTCATTTTTCTTTGATACTTTACCTTGAATAGATATAATAAAATTGTTTAAACACTTAAAGCGTGTAAATTTGTCCGATTAATCGATAAATTTTAATTTATTATAGTTGTTCTTCTATAGTAATTATTTATTACAAGCCATTGATAATTTAATAATTAAGGTTTAAGGTTCACTGTTTATTGCCCTGTTTATGGCTACTGCAAGTTATAAAATGAATATAATTTATTTTTAAAATAAATTCGTTTATACCTAGTAGCAAACCAATGGTTGGCAAGCTCTTTTTACGGACTAACCGCCAGCGGCGCAGGCGCAGCGCTCGTAAAACGTATTATTATCGCTAATAATCTCACTTTTCATTCATCGATAAGCTATGCGTCAATTTGCTAACTTATCATCAATTTTACTTATTATTTTATTGCTTTTCCTGCTCATTTTATTAGTTTTAGTATTTTAGTTATACTATGTACATTAATATTTCAATAATCACTATGAAAATATAGATCATATTCATATTAAGATACTTTTAAATATTTTTTTATAGTTCTCACATAAATAAAAGCATATTTAACTAATAAGGAAAGAACTGCCGTTAACGAACAACTTTCTTAGCTATACAAATTGCTAGTAACACGTTATTACGTAGAAATCCGTATCTTGGAATCGCAATAGTGGTGCTGCATGCCTCATTAATTGCGTACGTATCATTACTTGACGCATTTATCTTATAATTAAGTACACTTAAGAATTAAATAATTAGCAATGTTTTTACACAATCTAATGTATCTACTTTATGTTTTAAGTACCTTGAGCTCGGCGATTTTTTCCAGACTTATATCTTATATCGCGCTAACGAAATGACAGCTAATATACAGATAATATTTAATAAAGCATACAGATAAATAAAAACTTTTTAACAAAAAAATAAAAACCGACTTCAAACAAAAGCACTAAAAAGTAAAAAATAACTAATTGGTAGTTTTCATTTACTATACATACCTAATCAAATATTTTCGAAGTCGGTGTGCTTTGCTTTGTATGGGCTGGCACCGATTTTGAAAATATTTGATTAGGTATGTATTTAATAGGTAGGCTTTAATTACTTAGGCAAAGCACACCGACTTCGAAAATATTTGATTAGGTATGTATAGTAAATAAAAACTACCAATTAGTTATTTTTTACTTTTTAGTGCTTTTGTTTGAAGTCGGTTTTTATTTTTTTGTTAAAAAGTTTTTATTTTTCCCTTTTTAGTGTAGACAGTAGTAGCAAAGTAAGGATTCTAACGTGTTAGGCTTGTCAAATCAAACAAAATAAGCCCAAACTCAAAGTATCTACTATTAGCCGTTGAAGAGTTCCACCTATCCACCTTCTGGCCTTGCCATCAGATCAGGTCAACAGTACCGAACCACTGTACTATCAACGAAAATAGAAATACTTGCAAAGTTTCAAGTCAATATGACAATTAGAAGTAGGTTAAATTCATCATTAGTTGTTTTTCCACCCTTAGGGGTGGTATTTTTTTTTGAAATTTAAATGGGACCAATCTGGAAGTATACCCTTTCAAACAACACAAAAATTGTCCAAATCGGTTAATAAATGACGGAGTTCTGAGTTAACAAACATAAAAAAAAAAAAAAAAAAACATACAGTCGAATTGAGAACCTCCTCCTTTTTGAAGTCGGTTGAAAAACGTTAATACTGAGTGACGTTTAACACAAATCGTTATTTATAAAAAAACTAACTTTTTCATACTAGGTGTGATGCCTAATTTATTATGCATATAGGTTTTAGCCCATACATCCGATGTCAGGCGTAATTGGCCTTAATTCAATCATACTAAAGTTCATTTTTCTCCTTCGTAGGAGCTCATCTATAGCCAAAGCCAACGGATGTTGTCAAAGTTGCTGTGGCCCAATACGTCGCCTAGTGCGCCAAGAGACCCCCACTCAGACCATTTGGTTAGTAGACATTTAATTTTTTTTTAATAGAAACTATTTGCTTAATATACCAAATGTGTTTAAGCAAAGACGGTATAAAAGCAGCTTAATAACATGTTATCCGGAATCGAAAATGTTTAAAACTTGAAAAGCCTGAAAGATGCGTAATAAAAAGATTTTAAATAAATCTTTTCTTTTTATCATTTTACGTGGTTTCTTTTGCGGAAACACAGTGACTCTATGTCCACCATTTTTCATTATCATCGAGATACTGAGTGTTAAATGGCAAAATTTAACGTCAAGCTATCAGCATATATAGCATCATAATAAGACATGAATAAACATCAGTATGGCAAACGAAGATTAATGCAATATAGAAATCGAACCTTTATAATATATGATTTATTTCTTTATTGGCAAATTTGATTAGATATTATATATAGAATATAGAATATATCTTTATTGACACAATTCTTTGTGTTTACATAAGCCTGTTGAAGCCTCTGACTCCCAATCTAGAATAAACCTGTATGTCAGGAGATATGCTTCTTGCATGTCATATACCACATATGCATTTATCTAAAACCCAAATCCACAAATGAAATAAACCACAATTGCATGCAGACATTTTTGGCGTCCCACTGCTGGGCACGGGCCTCCCTTTAATGTGAGTGGGACCAAGCCTTAGTCCACCATTTCTGACCTTACATGTCTTTCGGAAACTTGCTTGGTTCTCTCAGACATGGAGGTTTCTTCACGTTATTTTCCTTGACCGTAAGACAATAAGTAATCATGTTGGAAATGATTCGCACATGAAAATATCTCAGGTGTGAGACCCGGGATTCGAACCCGCTTAACTCAATTTCCCAAGCGACCGCGTAGCCACTGGGCTACCACTGCCTTATTAATTATTCAATTTCAAGAATAATTTCTTGAAAAAACAAAACTAATAAAACTTTATATTTTCGCTCTACCAAAGTCGAGCAGTTATCACATAACTACAGCCTAATCAAACAGAATAGTAGAATTAAAAAATAACGTAACGAAATAACCGTCAAAACACGTCCTTTTCTAATGATGCCCATAACAAGGAGCATATTAGGGCAACCGTCCACTAATATTATTATATAAGCCGTACACCTCTATTAATAAAAAAAATATATATTATAACACATAGACATATATACATACATATATACGTAAAAGGCTTATTTGATAATTTAATAATTTTATGAAAAATAAATAACTATATAGTTAAAAAAAGCAAATAAACAATAACTTAATATCTAACTTGAAATTATAAACAAATACATACTATATTACTCTTTTCTTCTAAGCTCCAAAAAATCCAACGCAGCTATACATTTCTGGAAGAAGACCCTTAACCGTATAGTTTTTTTGCAGCCAAAAAATTTTATGGTCGAAATCATAGCGGCAGATGTTAATGATTCTATTATTTATGATCGAGCCTTCTATTACCTTTTATTTTTTGTACAAATTTACCTACCGGTAGGTAAGTGGGTGCGCCTGGGATTATTCGTCCATATAATTTTTATAAAGAATGTGAATCCGTAAACAAATAAAATGAATAAGAGTGTAAAATATTTCATTTAGAATTATATTATATTCAGTTTTGTTTTATTTTATTTATATACTAGCGACTCACCCTCGCTCCGCTCGAGTTTGTCCCTAGGTACGTTATAAGGATTAGCATGGATTTCTTTCTTAGAGATGAGATATTTTCCGCATTAAAAAATGTCCTAAATGTGGACCCGGACCACCAGCTATCACCATACCAAACATCAAAATCCTTCCAGTGGTTTTCTCTTGATGCGTTCCAAGACAGACTGACAAACAAAAACTTAATACTATAAATCGGCTTCAGTAGGTATCTATAATAATGGCTATTTCAATAAGATTTTCCAAAAAATATTTAATGTACAGGTTCGACACAGTTAGAAATTTATTACATGTACATATTTAATACCGTCTAAATCTTTCTTTAATCGTTCTTCCCAAACTCTATTTATTTAGATTGAATCGTATTTAATAATAAAAGTCCAAAAAATATTTAATGTACAGTTTCGACACAGATAGAATTTTATTACATGTATAGATTGTTCTATTGTTAAAATAACATAGGGGGCAGACCCATATAGCCTTTTTAATTATTTTTTTTAATATTAATTTATTCAACGATCAATTGTCAATTAAACCCATTAGACGCAATCCAACCATATTTGGTTTATCTCCATATATAATAAGTGTAACGCACTTACATATAGGTAAAGCTCAAAACATAAATCTGTCAATTAATACTCGTAATAATAACTCATAAACTATTCATTACTTCACATATAAATAATAATAGGTTTAATACTTTTTAGAATATATTAAATACGTACCCACTTTATATTTTATTTATATATTAGTATAAAAGCTAAAACTGTTAAAGTTTTGACGATACTTGTACGTGATAAGACTCTCACTCTGAACCTGCCTATAAAATACATTTAATACCGTCTAAATCTTTCTTTAATCGTTCTTCCCAAACTCTATTTATTTAGATTGAATCGTATTTAATAATAAAAGTTCAAAATTAAAATCATTTAAACCATTCAGGAGATTAAAACAACAAACACTCGGACAGGTGGATAAATATTTTTTTATAGTTGCCAGTGTTTTGGTATCGTGCAAATAAACATATAAATTAATATGAGGTAGCTATTTTTAAATATACATACACTAGAATACTTCAAGATACAATAAAAGAAAAAAATAAAAGCTCAAATTAAGCTAAAAAAAGCTTATAATAATCTTTTATTACAAATAGCTTTAAAAGTATTATTTTTCTATATCCAACAGACACAAGAACTTAATACATATACGGAGTAGGATGCAATATTTCCTAGTAGTCATTGATTACCATTAATTACTTAACATATGAATAAGATCAAATCTCGTGTTACTCACTCTGAACTGATTTATCTCTGCCATATATGGTGTAAACGATGTCATAATTATACGTACAGTTAAATAAATAAGTTATAAATCACCGGCCTGATATTATCTGTGCGTATCAGTTCATTTTTAATCTATATAGCAAATGTCAGAGTATATTATAAAAACAATTGATTTGACGATAGTGCTATACACTATCGTCAAATCAATATTAGTATTAGTAACTTTTTTTTTCAAAGCACTTTATTTATGTATATGTTTAAATATACAGCAAATATCAACGTGATGTGGATTTTTCTATATGCACTAAGATATATTTAAAGTAAATTATAAATATATACTTTAAATTATAAAAAGGCAGAGTTTGTTCGTTTAATCGTTTGAACGCGCTAATCTCAGGAATTAGTAATCAGATTTGAAAAATTCGTTTTGCATTAGATAGCCCGTTTATTGAGGAAGGCTATAGACTGATGATGTTCTCTTGACCGACTCCGGCCACGGCGGCCAATCTCATTAAGACTAGCCAACTGCGCAGGACATATTATAGTGCACAAGTGTACGCGCAGATACAGGCGCACTCTCTGTTCCTGTCACTCTCATACTCCGGTGGAAGGCTATAGACTATATATCATATAAATAATATATAGTCTATCTATTCCATACCAACCGTTAAAACGCACCTAGGGACAAACCCGAGTGGAGCGAGGGTGAGTCGCTTGTATTAATATAAAATAATTAATTTTATTTAGCAGTTTCCGCTCTAGCAAACTAATAAACAAACAATACTGAGATATAGTTAACATGTAATCTTTAAATTTATCCGTAAGCCTGTCCGAGAGCATTTATGATATAACTAGCAGAACCCGCGGCTTCGCTCGCGCTAAAACTACAAAAATATCTCTAAAAAGGTAGTTTCACACTAACTTTCATCCCCTGTTTTACCCTCTTATTGGATGAATTTCGAAAAATGCTAAAACACGTATTTATTTAATTTTATTGAAGAGCATTAATACCAAGTTTCAAGTAATTCTGATCATAAATATTTTTTTGTATTGTATTATAACGTGTTTTCCCGTGTTAATGAGATGATCTCCCACGATAAAAAGTAGCCTATGTCACTCTCCAGCGTTCCAACTATTTCCACACAAAAAATTACGCCAATCTGTCACTCCGTTTCGACGTGATAGAAGGACAAACAAACAAACACAGTTTCACATTTATAATATTAGTATGGATAATAATTTAAAAGCAACCTTCTCGTAGTGAAAATGGACATTTAAAAAATCTTACAGCTTTTTTAAATCAAATTTCCTTAAACCAGCTTGAGACAGCCGAAGGCGCCAGAGCTCACTATTTAGAGGTGTCCATACACTAATTATATGGTACAGAACTTAGATGTCTTCCAACACATCCAAATGAAAATGTACCTCATTAGTATAAATTTAAAGTATAATTTTACCTGATAGCAGTGTATAATAAAATCTCTCAAAATTGGCGTAAAAACTAATTACAATATGATTAGGGGTTTCTTGACAAAACTAACAAGGAGCATAATTATACTAATAAATAATCACATGTCGTTAGGCAGCTGTCGATGTTTCCGTCTGTTTGTTTATTGCCACTATTTTCAACTAATGTAGTTTTTCGACTTTTTGACTTTTAATTTGTTTTTTAAGCCGTATAGGTATTAATGACGGAACATATGGCAATTATATTGTATGCCTATCTACGTTATTAATGATGTATTTAGTAACAACTATTTTAAATGAAAGTATCTTTTCGGATTTTTTCGCGGAATTCGATTTTTTGTAGTTTTGTCCCATTTTGGTATTTTTGAAATCATTTTGTAATTTTGTGGATATGCACTATCTGTACGTAACATCTATGTAAGTGACCTTTGAGACGTCTAATACTTACTTTAATCTTTCCCGTGACCATGATTGCTGTAAAGTATTCTAAACGTCGGGAACCAAAAATCTAAATAAATCAGTGATAAAATCTGAAAAGATTGTTTCATTTAAAATCTATACTAATATTATAGTGAAAATTTATGAGTATGG